GGCATCCTCCCGCAGGAAGGCCTACGTCGAAGGCGATGCCGCATCCGAAACTTGTTCCAAAGTCACCGCCACCAGCATTGAGGCTTGTCTCCAAGGTCAAGCCAGCACCAAGGAACATCCTGGCTGAAGAGACGGAATCCGACAATCATCCTGGTGATCGACCTGCACTTCCAAGGCGACCAGTGATGCGGCCTGTTCTCACATCCAATGATCGGTGGTTTGTAACATATGGATCGGATACAAACATCAGCCTCCAGAAGGAATCCGTACACCCAGGACTTCGGACATTCAAAATTCTGAATTTTGTGTACGAGTACTACAAGGAATGCTCAACCATCCTCGATGTCAATCCGGACTTCCATTTCGTTCCTGAGCATGAGAGACCAAGGTATTCTGGTTGAAGGCCAGATTCAACGATTACTGGCAGCCAACACTCCAAGGTGAAGGAAATCATACGGAGAAGCAATACATGGACTTCATCAAGAAGGTCTACAGCATCTGCTGCTACACCAATGCTCAATCCGAAGTTTACGGAACCGACATCATCCCGATGGTATGCCACAACGGCAACAATGATCTCGAGAAGACCGTCCAGAATGTCGAACAGGTTTGAATACTTCCGCATGGATCCATCCAAGGCGCAACAGATCACAGATCTCATCCTCTGGCGAATTGAGAGAATGAGCAGATCGTTTTCCGGATGTCTTCGACATGATCCAAGGCATGGAATCCATAAGGAATGCAAACGACACGTGGACATGGGTCCTGATGGATCCGTCGAGCTATGACGCATTGACCTGCGTCACACATGCTAGGAACTTCATTGGAAATAAGCCAGGATTGCTCTTGATGGCTATGTTCCCGAGCTATGGAAAATCACGTTTCGAAATTGCATTCGTATTTCCATCCGTGGACGGGTCATATAATGAGCGCAAGGCACGGGGAGAAATTGTTCCAAGGAATCGATGGATCGACAAGCTCGCCACAAGATCCGCACAAAATGCACTCAGGCCCGATGGCAAGGAATTCTATGTCGATCCAGAGATGGAGTTCTACGTGAGATGCAACAGCGGACACACACGACAAGTCGAGATCCAATCCTTTGGACGACCCCTGTACTCTGAGCAGCAGAAAGAGCCTCAACACGACGAACCGGACTATGATCGACCAACGGAATCTATTCCGCCAAGTCCGCATCCGTCAAGATCCGAGGCGCCTCATGAAGATGAAGGCACAGCTCAGCCCAAGCACAGAATGCGAAGGCCGGCACCACCATCCATTGAAGAAGAGAGAAAAATCAAGCCGTTCGTGAAGAAGCCCATCACATTCATGTTCCATGCAACCTATGGAAATCAGCTCTTCAGCATCATGGAGCACGGGCTCAAATCTGGGAAATCCCAGTCAAACCCTTCGGGGAGAATGCACGTGCACATGGCATGCATCGATGACGTCATCCTTGACGACGATGAGTCAGAAGCCGCATTGACCCATGTGCCAGCAGGAAGAGACGCACTGTTGATCCTTGCATTCCTCAAGGACCAAGACTATGGCATCCGACTCTCCGAAGAGCGAACAGCGTTGACAGACAAAACCATCGAGGCAAGAAACATTGTTGCAGCATTTGAACCTGATGGCAGCCTCATGGCGAGCAACAAGTGGATCATGAAGAAGCATCTCAGTTATGAAGATTACGAGATGTATGACACCAAGATCCGCGAATTTGCCGATGCTTTCTTCAATTATGTGAATTCCACAAAGCACAGCAAGGAAAAGAAGCTGAAGAAGAGACCATGGAACCCTCCGGGGAAAGATCCGTCAAGCCAAAGGTCACCGTGAAATATCATAACTCAGAGAACTTAGACGAGTTCATCCAAAAACTCAAGGGAATCTATCTCGAAACAGATTTGAACAAAAAGGACGCAGAGGAAGAGCTCGCGGAGACCAAGGCAAACCTCCTCCGCTTCATGAACAAGTACAACAAAGATCCAAGAAGAGCTCATCCCAACTTGACAGCTTGCGAGAGAGCCTCGTTGGCACATGTCGATCCCGATGTCAATCTCGGAGAAGAAGAATTCTACTTCCCTCATCGAGGAGAATGTCCCACCATGGACGAGTACAAGCAAGCTCAACCAGGATCCGGATATCCGATTAAGCTTCCACTTGGATTGAAGAAGCTTAGGTCACATGATGACCCGGAAATCATCCGAGCCTATGCCGATATGCTGGGATCGCTGATGCAACCGACCGACCGTCCTCCTGTGGACTATCTCAAGATGCATGAGTTCACCTCATCCATAGCGATGAACATGCTGACCCTGAACCATGGAAACCTCACGAGGAATCCAAAGCTGGACAACAGGGAGGTGTACAACATGCCGATGAAGGATCGACCGATCGTGAAGATGATGATGCAGAACAGTGCACACATCTTATGCCTGAATGAAGCAGACGCATTCTTCAGTCCTAATGATGAGAAATCCAGGGAGCTCATCAAGACGTTCATCCGATTCGGGTACAAGGGCATCGTGATCAAGCAATGGTCATCCAGACCGATCGCATGCTTTGTCCGTGGCGGACCTTCTGCAAGAGTGGAACTTCTGGCAAGACACATTTCCACCAAGAGCCAGAATTGGGAAACCACATTCGGAATGTTCAGATGTTTCTTCGGAACCGACGGAAGTTGCACTGATCCCGAATACGAAACTCCGACCTCGGATTGCTTGGCAACTACAGGACCATCCATGTTTACTGAGTCCAAGAAGTACATTGGACCGAGATTGCCAGCACGCACCATTGTCCAAGGACATGGCCGAGACAAGGAGATCGTCGTTCTCCATATCGAGCAGAGTGATGAGTTTCGTGGCATGATCCCGAGATCATCCAACAAGTCACTCCACGAGTATGACAACCGCCACAAAACGACAACCGCCACAAAACGAGGGCAGATCTCCCATTCGCTACCATTGGAGTTTTCCACATTCATCCTTCAATCAGCCATGGAGCAGAACGGGAAGATCTTCAAAATGAAATCATGCCGCTCGTGACTTTGTACCGATGCGATGCGATCACCGGAGACGCCAACAAATCAGCGAACACCTTCAGCAAACTCCAGCACGTCTTCAATCCGGCCAACGGTCTCGTGAACATCCTCATGAGAGCATATCAGAGACTGTGGAATGAAACGAAAGATTTGCCACTCGTGGACAGAATGGAGTACGCAATGGAGACTTCGTGCACCCTAAAGTCCATTGTCCGTCATCACCTGTACATGAAGTGTGGATCAGGATATGATCGGACATTCCACATGTGATGATGACTTTCGTATTTGGATGGGGCAAAACGAACATCCAGCAGGCTTTCCGGAAGGACGAGATGAACGGCATGGATGAGGAACAACTGGAACTCATGCGGAACGATCCAACCAAGGCCATATTCGATTACCAGGTCTCATCCGCAGAGCAATTTAAGCACGTGAACAATGACATGTTCATGAATGGCTCGCAGGACTCCGACTCTCACAGTCCCCTCATGGTTTACATCCGCAGCACATCTGCAACTCCGAGAGATACCAGGAGTACATCAAGAAGAAACAAGCCTGGACCCCGCAGGAGTACAAGCACTACAACAAGCAGTGGGGACATCAGAAGCAGTGGAAGGACTATAGCAACTCGACCTGGAATGATTATGGAGACTATGGCAGTCAATCCGACAGCAGCCGCCGATGGTATCGTCGATCTGACTGACCATGAAGATTCATACGTTCAGCACCACGAACTCAATTCAGATGATTGATCCTCGCCGTCTACAAGACTATACCATGAGTGAGAGATCAATAGTTTCACAATCGTCCCGCGTGTACATAGCGTTGTACATCACCCTTTTGATACATCTAGGTATCTCAAAAAGAAGCAGTACATAGTGTTGTCCATTTCGAAAGCCAAGACATTTCATCCGAGCAGAAAAGAGGATGAATCCGGCATTTTTAATACACATGGCTACGGCATACAGCATGGCTACGGCATACATCAAGGCTACGGCCAAAGGCCATGAAGCCAATAGTATTTCATACTTAGTGCTGGAGATCAAAAGAAAATTGTGTGGGTTTTGTGTTTGGTTCTCAGACCAATTGATCTCCCGCGACATTTGGCTCAAGGCCCCTTTTGTATATCATTGCATCATTCAACCCCCGCACCCAACAACAACAAAAAACGAAAACCAAGCCCCAACCCCCCCCCCCCCTCGCCCACCCCACACAAAAACAACACGGAAAACCATCCATGGGTCTGCCCCCCCAAACCAAACCTCCCCCCACCCCACCCCAAACCAAATGGAAAACCACCCCAACCCCCCCCCCCCCCCCTCGCCCACCCCACAAAAAAACAAAACGGAAAACCATCCATGGGTCTGCCCCCCCAAACCAAACCCCCAAGCCACCCCACCCCAACCAACAAAAAAAAAGGAAAACCACCCCGCAACCCCAAAAAACAAAACGGAAAACTATCCATGGGTCCGCCCCCCCAAACCAAACCCCCAAGCCACCCCACCCCAACCAACAAAAAAAAGGAAAAACCCCCTCCCAACCCCCCCCCCCGCCCGGAAAACCATCCATCAGTCTGCCCCCCCAAACCAAACCCCCAACCAACACAAAATAAAGGAAAACCCCCCCCCCCCCCCAACTCCCCCACACAAAAAAAACACGGAAAACCATCCATGTGTCTGCCCCCAAACCAAACCCCCAAGCCACCCCACCCCAACCAACAAAAAAAGGAAAAACCACCCCCCACCCCCCCCCCCCCCCCCCTCGCCCACCCCACAAAAAAACAAAACGGAAAACCATCCATGGGTCTGCCCCCCAAACCAAACCTCCCCCCACCCACCCCAACCAACAACAAAAACAAAAAACGGAAAGAAAACACCAACCCCAAACCAGCGGCCAACGGCCAACTCAACGAAGCGAACCCGGAACCGAAGCGTCCCCCGACCCGATCGGGCGCCCCGTCCACCAGCAGCTTCGCGACGCCTTGTCGCTGGAAGCCCCGCTGCACCTAGTGGTAGGAAGGAGCTGAGCCCCATCAAAGCTGGGGATCTCAACTGGGTCCATCCCTCACAACCCTCTTGGCAGGTCTAGGCAAAGACCGGAGCCGCGCTTCACTGGCAAAACGTCTCAACCGGATTCTGGAAAAAAAAGGCCTTCAGATAGGCGATCTCCAAGATCTGGTCCTTCTCAAGGTAGCCGAGGTGAATCTCAGTGGCGGAGTACAAGGAGACATGGCACCTGTCTTTGGTTGACTGGCTGGCCAGTGGTTGCAATTGCCGCAACTACAACCTCTGCTGCTCCTGTTAGCCTGCCTTGTGGAGCCACAGTACAAGAGGAGGGGGCGCGAATGGGTCGAAGCTTTTCCCCTTGCCGTTGATCTTCTGGGAGTGCACCCCCAAGGTCTGGGCGTAACCGCGGATCGCGCGGGTTTCCTTGTGGACCTCGAGGATGAATCAAGCAAGTTTGCATGGGATCTCCAAATAGTCCCAACAAGAGGATCATCAAGGGACACCCAGCATGTTGAGTGCTGATTTAAGCCAATGCCTGAAAACATACTCTTGAATGGATTGCAAAGGGCCCCAACTTGCTAAACACTGGACACTCCCTCTTTCTCTCGAGCAGCAAGACAAGGTCATGGTTCGGTTCTCCATCCCACTCAGCTACGTGCGCTCGCCAGCATGAGCTCTGCCGGTTTGCCCTGCTTGAGCAGGTAGTGAATAATCTGGCATGCCAAAAGCGCAAACGTGTGCGCCCAAGCTTTCACACTCAGAAAGGACAGAACCCTCAGGATAGGCAGAACACCCGCTCCAACATATTTCCCAAGGTATGACTCGAAGATGAACTGCTGTCCTAAGCTGGAAACAACAACATGGTAGGTGTGCACAATTGCCAAGGAATAACAGTTGAAAAGAGCCGGGCAATTGCAATATCCCGTCGTACACATACAAAATGAGGTGACTTGAACAAACTGTTAATAAACACCTGCAACGTTTGTGAAATTGCCCCAATTAACACATAATCCTGATCACAATTGCTCAACGTTCCTTGTGAACAAAACAAAAGACTACAAATATCAGCGAACTTGAGGCCGCATGCACATCCTAAAATACTGGCACGACGCAGGGACGGGACGCAGCGCCTTGTGCGCGTCGGGCTCGCTGACCGGCACGCCAGAAAAATCCGCCCACTCGTCTGGCCTCGTGCCGCGAAAGACTGCGCGCGATGGAGCAATGGCTGGAATCTGTGGCAAATGTCAACCCGTGTTTCATGAAAGCTGAGACACTGCAAATCCATATTTTACCACTACACAGCTGATTTCTCCATAAGGCATTCGACAACAGAGCAGTTTCAGGTCATGAAAGGTAGTTTGCAAGGAATCTAACTAAGATCCAGTGCCCGCAAAATCTGTATTTTGCCAGCGGATTGCATGCGTTCCTCCCCTCGACGGCAACGACAAACTTGATTTGCGTATAGCAGCTGACAGTGATCATGCTGACAGCGCTTGTTCAGGATTGTGATTCAAGTAAAGCTCTTAGCTGTGTTGCTAACTACTAAAAAAAGAAAAAAACAATGTGGAAGTGCCGGGAGGGAGAGAAGCTTTTATGGCTGCTGCGAGAGGGTTGATTCATGCTTGTCGTCAACAGCCCATTAAATTGCCATCTCCGCGTTCAAGAAAACACACGTGTGGAGCATGGCACGCATGACTACATTACGGCTTCCACGTCTTCATTGCTTGATCTCCCACCAACAAGCATCGCTCCACTAGCCCGAAAGAAGCCTTGCTCAGCCCCGCGCGCCATTGCCAAATGCATAGGATGATCCGCCAGGCAGTCGGCATGATCTAAAACGAATTCCTGGCACAGGGACAAGTGCAAGCAGAATGCTTGCACACCCCTGAAAATTGAGTGCTATTCCCAAAACCCAGAACTGCCACACCAAAAAAAAACTTGCGTTCCCGAGATGCGCAAGTCTGCGCAGACTTGCTGAGCTGCATCGGCGGATAGTCTGACGCATTCAACTTTTTACATCCAAAGGTGTTTAAGCTCAGACTCTCCTCTGTGACATGTTACAAAGTTGTTATCGGAACAAAAGGTCCCCACCAAAGGCTTGAGAGAATAAGAGTATCTTCAGAAGCAGCGCGAAATGTCGGCTTGAAAATTGCACGCCCTACAACAGCGCATATGATGGAGAATATAAACCGCTGGGATGAAACTCAGGAAAGGTGTGTTTGCAGAAGGAAGCTGCCTCTAAAGAGAAAAGCAAAGTACTAGAATCGATCCTAGAGAAATGTGCCCCTCATTTCCTGTACAACTGTCTGACCTCAGGAATCCCTGCAAAGGAACAATTTAAGTGTTGTTTCAACGAAATAGATCCTGGCTGACACTTGTTGGAGGCGACACACTCACAAGATGGACCGCTGTTCAAGATGGTTCCCCCCAAACAACTGTTCCAAGCGGCTTGAGGGGTGGCTTGAGGTTGATGGCTGAGGTAAATCGAATACCAAGTCTCTGAGTCGAAGGGAAGTGTCACCCAACTTCCCTCAAGCCTCCAAGGGGGGACGATGGGTTGATCTGAGGCCGTCCTCGATCAATCACGTCAGGCCGACTCTTTCCAGCACGCGTATCCGCGCTGTCGACTCTGGCGGTGGCACCACGCACTCGTACCTCAGGAGGGTACATTCAACCTCCTCCTCCTCCTCCTCCGCCTGCTCCTATTATTTTCTTCTGCTGCTTCTTCTTCTCCTCCTCTTCTTGTTATTATTCCTCTTCTTCTTCTTCTTCTTCTTCTTCTTCTTCTTCTTCTTCTTCTTCTTCTTCTTCTTCTTCTTCTTCTTCGTCTTCTCTCTTCGTCTTCTCTCTTCGTCTTCTTATTCTTCTTCTCCTCCTCTTGGTCCTATTATTGTTCTTGTTATGTTATTATGTTTCTTCTTCTTCTTCTTCGTCTTCTTCGTCTTCTTCGTCTTCTTCTTCTTCTTCTGCTTCTTCTTCTTCTGCTTCTTCTTCTTCTTCTGCTTCTTCTTCTTCGTCTTCTCTCTTCGTCTTCTTATTCTTCGTCTGCTTCTTCTTCTTACTATTATTATTATTCGTTTCATTTGAGTGTGGGTCAAAATTAAACCACCGGGGGACCGCAGATTTTAGTCCTTGGTTTCCTTTACCAGGCTTCTATTTTGGGTACCCATTTTTGACCAGCCATTTGATTCCTCCCTATTTTCTCTCTGATCATCATGTGCAGTTCTTTGACTTGACAAACCGTTTGCTCATTGCCTTCGCACAATTCTCAGAGTGTTGCCGCTCGCTTGGCAAACTCCAACTTTCGCCTCATGGATTGAAAGATGAACAACAAGTCCAGCTCGCAAACGGCACACGACTGCGACACCAAAAGATACAAAACTCGACAGATCGAACAAAACAACCGTCTGTCAGGGGCTGTGCTCGCTAGTGGTTGTGTTTTTGCTCATAGTATGTGTTTCGATTCAGCAAGGTTCAATGACGAGACAAATCCAGCACTCAGTCTTGAGGATCCTTACTAAAAGGCGGATCACAACCCATGTTATGGCACATATGTCTTGATGGCCTCTGATGGGTGTAGCTCTGCAAAGAAGGAAGCAAACAAACACAGGACGCACTTGGCTGCTGTAGGGTGTGCATAAGTTCAGTGGGCGAAATGAGAGGCGCTGGCAGCCCGAGATGGTGTCTCAAAAGCAGGGACCTCTTTGGAGACGGCTTTTTACGGAAGAAAAGGGGACATCAACCATTGCTTGTGACACAAGTCAAAAATCGGACACACCAGCCCGACTTACCCTTCTAAGCCGCTCGCTCGCCAGTCTCCGCCCAGACGTCGCCTAACAAGAAATGAACGAGCGGCAAAACCTATCACTACTTTGGGTGATTTCGAATGGGAAGCTTTTTTGGTCCAAGTTTCCTGTCATTCCGAATGCAGCACTCTGCGATGCGAAAATTGCAAAAAGCTTCCTCCGACCCTGCCAACTTCCCTGTGGACTCGAAACTCGAAACGTGACCAGGATCCTGGAATTAAAGAGGATCCATGCTCTTGGCACATCAAACCAAGGCAAGCAATCGATGTTTCTCTGGCTCTGGCGGTTCCACTTTTTCTGGCTCACAGCTCGGAAGCTCGAGCCTCTCTTCTCCGTGGGTATGGTGTCGTCAGGAACTCGGCACAGGCAGTCCGCCACATGGGCCGCCGAAACCATGGGATGCCCACGCGAAAATCAACCAAAAGACAGTCAGACACGAGCGAATGTTTTTCAGAATCTGATGAGTTGTCAGCACGGAAGTCGTGATGAAACCTCTTGCACATCAGTCTTTCACCCACAAGCGTTGTGGAAGTCAACCCCCTCACTTTTGGATGGCTGCTTTTGCAAGGCTTGCTTAGTGTGTGGAAAGCTGATTTCATCTTGGGAGCGCAAAACTGTATAATGATGTTTTGTCGACCTCTCTCCAACAAACGTTCTGTTTGATAAGCGCGGACTCGGCTCACATAGCAAAGGGATTGGCAATCTCCAGGTTGCGTGAGCTTTGATTTTCAGGATCGCGCCCTCTTCATCTTGGTACGCCCATTCGCACATGACCTTGGGTCCTGAATCAATTCAACACGCGCCAAGGGACATCAATGAAAGATGGCGCCCAAAACCCAAATGAAACCAATGCAATCCAAATGAAGCCATGTAGTAGAACACCCTGCAAACATGCTCGACTAAAGAGTTTGGACACTGCTCAAGTGAGACACCTCCTAGCTTGCCAAGAAGCACAAGCGTGCCCAACCCCAAATCAGTCACCAATCCAAGGCCTTGCATTACCGTATCGTGGGTCACCTGGGTCACTTGTTCGCCATGCCAACTGACTGCCACACACACGCACGCACGCACGCACGCACGCACACACACACACACACACAGACTCACACACACACAGACACACACAGACACACACAGACACACACAGACACACACAGACACGCACAGACTCGCACAGACACACACAGACACACACAGAGACACACAGAGACACACACACGCACACACACACGCGCACACACACACACACACCCACACACACACACACACACACACGCGCACACACACACACACACACACACCCGCACACACACGCGCACACACACACACACCCACACACACACACACACGCGCACACACACACACACACACACACACACGCACACGCACACACACGCGCACACACACACACACACACACGCGCGCACACACACACACACACACACACACACACACACACACACACGCGCGCACACACACACACACACACACACACACACGCGCGCACACACACACACACACACACACGCGCACACACACACACACACGCACACACACACACACACACACGCAGCAAAGAGACAGTTCTCGTGCCAGCCCAAAACCGGCACCACAACAGTTCCGACGTCGATGTCCTGAGCACCGCATCGCCAAATCGCCTCTGGCAAGGGGATTGGGCGGGGAGCAGTTGCATCTCCTCTGCAGGACTCTATGCCCCGTTCTCCCCTCCCGCAACAAACAAGCACTCGTCTGAAACAAGAGGGGCTCCCTTGACGTGGACAAACGCCAAAAGCCTGATTAACCTGAACAAGTCGACTATTTTTTGAGACCATCAAAAACTAGCATTTGACTCCCCCAAAAAAAAACGAAACATGTTCCGGCGATTGCGCGCCAGCACCTCTAGCAACATTGCCCGAAGAGCACCTCAACCAACACCGCAAACAGCGTCCCAAAACAGCACCTGCACAAGAATCCCCGACCTAGCACCCTACCGTGAATCTTGCAAAAGCGCGCCCGCACCATCACCTGCATGCCCCTAGCACCCTGCCATCAATCTTCGAGAAATGCGTCCGCACCTGACCAGCAGCTCAAACAGCACCCCCAAACAGCACCTCCCCCTAGCACACAGCCGTCAATCTCGCAAATCACTTCCCCTTCTTTATTAGAAGTTAGAACCCCTATAGCTTCAGCTATCTCGGCCAAAAAATATTTTTCTTTAAAAAAAGAAAGAAAAACGAGGTGGGTGGGTTGGTTGTTTCAGACAGCAGCAAATGCAGGTTTGGACCCATCCCAGGCCGATCGAGAGCCGCCCCGGAAGGGCCTCTGAATCGCTTCCAAAGCGGCTGCTCCGCCTGACACAGCTGTGTCATGCGGAGGTGAATTTCAGTGACCCGTTGGTGGACATCATTTGGGGGGGGGGGGGGAATTCATGTCCACCAACCACTTTTGAAAAAACTCAAACCTACCGCCTCCAAGGGTTGGAGACAAGGACGTCCCCACACGTTAGCGTCGGTCCATGCAAAGGGCAGTTCTTGTGTTGGAATGGATCGCTTTCCTTTTGGTGTGTTTGGAGCAAGCCCCACGCGCTGCACCAATGCACTCCAAAGCTCTCGCATGAATAGTGCTCCCAACGCGGGCTGGCATCGCTCACGGAAAGCATGCAAAATCCCTGTAGAGAAATGCAGCGGGGGGGCCTTTCGCGCTCAGCAAATACCACTGCAATATCCCCGGTTTTCCATCAGTGTCAATCCCTGCCGCTGTCTTTCCAACGTGGTAGCCGCCTGGTAGCTTTCCTACTATGGCTGTGAGTCAAAAATATGTAAGATGGAATCCTGGAAAGTGGAAACATGGACCAGAACCTGCGGTCCAATTCCTGATGGCTTAATTTTCACTCATACCCATGTCTTGCACCCGGCCTGAGCGATCCGACGCCTCTTGGCTTTAGGCTCCTCGACGGTCGCGATGCCTGCGCTTGGGCGTTTGCGGGCGTTCGTGTTTGCACGTAGTCAAAGGAAGGCTTCCCCCAACTCCGAAAGCGCAAACCAGGCCCTACTTTCAAAATTGTCTTTATTGCGTCGGGGAAGACTGTCAGAGTGTGGCACACCAACTAAATGCAGTTTTGTTGGCCAGAACATTTGCGCAATTCTCGATGCTCCTTATAATTCGACTGATACTATGCCGGAGTGAAGCACGTACAATATCTGCCCAAAAGCGACATCAACTTCACAGCTTCAAGACTGTCCAATATTCCGAACGATTATCCCTGATAGCATTGCACGAGTCCTGAAACGCTTGGGCACGTGGAGCCGCGGACGACACACACACACACTTAAATCCCACAAGGGGTAGACACGAAGTTCGAGTAAATCAAGCAAGAAGGAGAGGGGCAGATTCGAGACAGGCTTGCGTGTGTTCTGAAGCAAAAGCAGACACACCACAGAACCAGAGCCAATGGTCATGCAAAAGCAACAAAGTCCAACATCACGAGAAGTTGTGGTTCAAATTGAAAGCAGGTACGTCAAGAGGCGTCCCTGGTGATATCCTCAGGCCACTGTGGAGAGCTTTGTTAGATGGAGCTCCACAGGCCTGCTCCATCCCGCTGCTAACTTGTGAAATGGTTCCAGGTAAATCTGGAACTCGGCACACACACGCCCCCGTAGAGGCGAACGCACATGTTTTCCTGGAAGAACGGGCAGGTCAGCACGAAGGCAGCTCAGGAGCCAAAATAGCCGAGGCGTCCAGGTGATCTAGAACGGACTCTAGAAGTCAGGGCGTCGCGCCGGTAGGGGAAGGGCAGCATGTTCAGGGTTGCCAAGGGGTGGCACCGAAATCCGTGTTGCAGTCGGTTGCGAGGTAGGTTCAGCTGCCGCCGCCACTGCATCAACATGAACATGATGAACACGAGCTTGGTCCTGAGGCACATCCAGCATAAAAGGCGCGTGTGGAAAGGAGCCCTGTTTCGAAAGAACACGTTGATACCCTTGACAGCGCCCATCTTGCAACTTCCAAACGTAGTACCACCGTACGAAAATTGGGCTGCCCTCATCTTCACCTGGGGTTGAGTCCTACGCGATCCAGTGTTTGCCCCACGTCTGATATGTGTTGCTATCCATGGGTGGCACTTCCTGGGTTCCATCAAGGATGACTGGTTCATCAGGGACAAAGATCTTGACCCAATCTTCCCGCATAGTGACGTAGTTCAACTCAAGGGTGTGATGTCGTGGATCGAGGAGGTTCATCATCAGGATGATACAAGTCCATGTGGGCGTCTGGTGAGACACTACGCACCCGAATTCAGCTGAACACGAGCCTCAAAGCATGTGATTCAAGACAAGCACAAGCAAAGCAACGAAACCGAAGCACAACCCAGTTTTCACGAGACGGCTGAGATCTCATACATCCGCTGACGACTCAAAAACAGGCCGCGTAGCAAAGCTCAAGGTAGTAGTCCGACGAAGTGGCGCATATCGCGGAGAGGCAGCGTTGTCCATGTCAGGCGGTTCTGTGTCATAAGGCGCAGGACGATTGGTAGGGCGAGATGTCTCAGTGTCACTGTTGGGAGGCGCTGTTGATTGAAGACGCTCAAGTCCGGTGATCACATCACCCCAGGTCACCTCAGCAGAAGGAGCATTGTGGCTCAGGTTCAACATGGCCGTCGCAGCATCATGCAAGTTGGTGTCCAGGATTGCAGCAACGTCGGCCGACGTGGTTGATGACCAGGCGGTGCGCCATCGATGCTGATGTTGTGGCTGAGGAGACGCAACCCGGCGGTATCCTTCAGTGCTCCAGTCTCGTCGATACCATACTGGTTGCCGGTCACTGTTGCCATCCGCTGGTGGTTCACATTTCCACTCGCGATGCGTGTGAGATGGGATGGGATCATTGTGCGTTCCAATCACCCATGGTCCAGGCTCAAAGATCTTGATCCATTGATGTTGAGGTTGTAGAGGATCCGGGCACCACTCCACCCACGGCGTGCCGAAGACTACACACTAAACAAGTTTCAGTCACACTGCGGCGTCAAGCAAGAAGCCAGGCAACGGATGCGTAAAAACAATTGAAATGCAGCAACTACCGACAACCGCAACAAGGTGGTGATAAAATATCCATGCACCTTTTTCTGTCACGATCATCAATCTGTCAACACTTACACATTCCAATCAAACTCCGAGTCAGATAGCGCTCCCTTGCTGAAACTGGTCCCAGGGCGCATCTGGGACTCCACACACACACGCGCCCCCAAAGGGGCAGTTTTCACCGCGCAAACTCCGAGCCGCGGGCGAGAACATGGGCGCTCCCTCACTGGGCGTTGTTCAGCCACACATCCCAGGTCAAATACAAAGAGGGGGGAGCTCCACTCCATACTCCATCAGGCACCGAAGCATCCAAATGCGCAGGAGGCGGGGTGACAACTGGCACATCAAGCCGTGCGGGCAAAGCAGACGTCGTTGACGGACAGAGGCCTGACGGTGGTCCACTCGCGAGAGTCCCAAACTGGTGCATGGTCATCCAACCGTGTAACCGTGGGACTCGAAGAAGGAGTAGCCTGCAGCATCAGGATGAGACGGCATGTCATCAGAAGATGGCAACGGCGATGGCGTAGGAGATCTTCTTAAGATGTTGCGAGGCCGGTACGGTGGTTCAGGATGATGGGTGGTTGCATCCATGATCCATGTAGTGCGTCGATCAGGATCCTTGCGTGAACTGCGTCGGGAGCGAGACCTGGATCGGCAGGACCTGGGATGTGTGTTCATGTTGGGTGCAACCGGAGGTGGTAGATCAAGCGTACGATGAGGGCCAGTGGAACCGAGCAATGAGCGACAACGATTGATAGAGTGAGCGTGCCCATGATGGGGGTGTCTACCCCGCGCCGACGCAGGCGAAGAAGCGCTTGGCATGGTAGCAGAGGGACGCCTTGCTGACACTTCCCCATCGTGGTGTCGACCTGGATCAACTTCATCAGGCGGGTGAACAGCAAACCGATGCGAGACATTGAGGGTCCGTGGATATCCTGCTGCACGTGTGTTATCCAGCGTGGCGGCGATCTGGTACTGGAAGTCGATCAACAGGTTGAACAAGGCAGCGACGAGCTCGTCAGGCAGGAACATGATAGAGCAAGTCGAATACACAACATGACTCAGCACCTTAGGCATGTGTGTCCAAAATCGCGTTCATGAAGATCAAGAACCATACGTACCAAAATCAGAGACGACGATGCCACTTCATGTTCTGACAAGAGCAGAAACAACATGACTCCAATCGACATGTGCGAGCAACACACCCGATTCCTCAAACTCTTTATCCATTACATCAGACCCTTAAGAACAGCTGCTGTGTGGCTCTTCACATATAATGCAAAGACATGATTCGCACAGACTGATCAAGCACGCATGCACAAGAAAGCCTCGACTGCACTATTTTCCACTGAACCGTTCCTAACGTCCAAAGCTTTTGGCTGGGTCCTCAATTGCACGCTGCGGACGTGTTCGATGGCTGAACAAGTTTGGTAAACAGTCGAGCTCCAACAATCAACACTGCGAGTGGCTTATCATGGAGTTTAGCGGTGTAGATCGGCTCGGCCCCCCACATGGACGCCATTGCTGACAGGGATTCCGCCTCACCCTTTGGGATTGTTGTAGGTCTGGAAAAAGTGGTTGACCTTGGACCCAAACTCTTTCTTGGTGAGCGGTGATTCACGGTCCGTCAATCTCGGGACGAACCAGTTGACCAATGGCGCCATCGTAGAGCTAGAAGGGGCACTGTGACGTAGCGGTCGTGTAAAGGATGAGTTCCACGTGTAGTAGTCAATCAACTCCAATGGTGAGCTGGCTTGATCCGGAGGATCAATCCTTTTTCGCTTGTGTGTCTCCCCACGCAGTGGGGCCAGGATTGGCGCTGATTGTGTCGTGTAGGATTGGCCATCCTTGGCTGCGGCACTGACGGTTGGCCATGAGGATGACGACGGAGGCGAGGTGTTCATAGGCTTGGTCGATGACATAGGAGCGGTTTCCATAGATGCGTCGGTCGGTTTGTTCTGCGAGTCAAGCTGCGCTTTGAGCACGGTGTTGTCACGGGCGAGCGCTTGTACTTGTGAAAGAAGACCACTGTCAGGATTGGTCGGCTGGTATTCCTGCTGGGCACGGGAAAGCGCATCAATGATCTTCAAGGAGAGATGCTCATGGACTTTGATTCGTTGACCAAAATCATTGGTGTCACAACCAAGGAAAGCGGCGGCATCCTTTTCAAGCTGAATGATGTCCACGGAGCGTCCTGGCCGTAATGTTTTGGATGCGGTGCCCCATAGTAATGCTTCTGCTCTGGATCGGAATCCTTCCCAAGTGACAAAGCGTCCGTGACTCATGGGCCGGAGGAGCCAATTGGCGAGTCCACGGTGTATGACCTGGATTAGCTTGATGTCCTCCAAGCGAAGGCCGTCGATGCCAATGGACTGGGTATAGGGTGTGTTGGCAATTTTGTCCGGAAGCGAAAACTGGTACACCTCACGTGTATCGCAGAAACCTGGGGAGCTGTTCCATTCCGCTGGTTCTGCGAAGAGCGTGTTCACCGATGAAGCAGCCAAAGTGGTGGATTGACGTGGAACAGTTCCAGCTTGATATGGGACTGCCGTCCTCGGTGGCAACGGTGTTGTCGATGTCTGTGAGATCACCGGCCGGTGAGGGACGTGATGACGTAGTACCGGCGGTGGTGCTGGCGGAAAGACTGGAGCGCAGGGGTTGACGCTGACAAAGTTGTCCATGTGAGGCTGTGAGTACTGAGGATGCCCACGTGGAGTGCGCCGGTAGTTCGGCGGAAGGGAGACTCGGTGGGGTTGATGATGAAGAGGCAAGGTTGCCTGATCAGTCCAACTCCGTTCTGTGTCAGCATTCGCCTCCTTGACAGGGGAAGTAGACCGGCGCCTTCGACCATGTCGATGCCTGGATCTGGAGCGCGAACGATCACGCCGTGGCATGAAGTCAGCGATGAGGGAATCAATCACACTGATCAGAGACTGAGCCAAATGCATTGAATCCAAGTCCGAATGATCCAAGCGGAATTCAACGAACGGCACTAAGGGAGAAGCAGAGACACTCAAACCCGCCTTGTTGATCTTGAAGGTGAAACTTCCACACAAGTGAATCAATCACACTGAGGTCACACAACTGAGGTTCATATCACTTATCACTGAGGTTAGTACCTCTGAGGTCAGTATATCTCAGGTTAACGTGAAACGACTGAAGCGGGCCCGCGGTCACTCTCTGGGTACTCGCGAGGATCTCCCTCTCGGGATGTCACACTTAAATCCCACAAGGGGTAGACACGAAGTTCGAGTAAATCAAGCAAGAAGGAGAGGGGCAGATTCGAGACAGGCTTACGTGCGTTCTGAAGCAAAAGCGGACACACCACAGAACCAGAGCCAATGGTCATGCAAAAGCAACAAAGTCCAACATCACGAGAAGTTGTGGCTCAAATTGAAAGCAGGTACGTCACCAGGCGTCCCTGGTGATATCCTCAGGCCACTGTGGAGAGCTTTGTTAGATGGAGCTCCACAGGCCTGCTCCATCCCCCTGCTACAACTTGTGAAATGGTTCCAGGGTAAATCTGGAACTCGGCACACACACACACATCCCGAAAACGATGCCAACAGTTGCTGCAAGCTTTCCCTAGGTGATTCCTTACAGAGAAGGAAGACACAAAAAGGGGAGAGACAGAGAGCAGGAGAGACGGAGACAAAACTAGGGGGGAGAGAAAGGGAGTGAGAGAAAGAGGGTGAAGAGGACGGTGACATATTACTACTCTTAAAATGTTCAAAAGATGGTTACACTGTTCTTGTCTTCCATGCAGACTTGCTTGAGTCAACCGGGGTCTCACGCAACGTGCATGATACATCTTGGCAATTCGGCTACAATCTACTGGTCCAGCTGCAATCCTGAATGAAACTCTTTATTTGCACGAATGTTCTAACTCTTTGGCGTCTCGAGAGAGAGAGAGAGAAAGAAAGAGAGAGAGAGAGCGAACGAGAGATCTGCAAACCGCACCTTGCTCGGTGTATGCCTTTCTGAAGATGGGATTGGCCTGGCGCACGCAGCAAGTACCCAAGTCAAGACCCACCAACTGCCTGACTAGCTGGCTGACTGATTGACTCACTGACTGACTCACTAGCTGACTGGCCATCTGGCTGTCTGGCCGCAGATTTGGCTCTCTGTTTCCCAGCCGTCGCGCCCAAAAACTGCGCGGCCGGGCAAAGAACGGCGGCCGTCGCCCGCCGTAGGTGTCCTTCCTGGGCGTGGCGGCTTTTGTGCTGGACTCGAGGAGGAAAATCCGGCTCTATCATTTCACAATCATACGTACACAAATTTCATATGAAGATTGTACACGATTTGCTTTATAGGTATACACACATACAAACTGGACACAACATGAAACTAAACCGGTCCGAACAACCCACGAAGCCACACGCAAAATTGACTGTAGCCTGACATGCACGGATTACAAGAGTGATGATTTGACGCTTGATCTTGTTTTACTCAAATAGTACCTCTCTGCTCTCTGAAATGGGCCTCAAGACCCAAGGAAAACTCATTGAATCCTATCCTAGAATTCTACAGCTCCTGGAGCTCACTTGATAAGCGGGTTGGCGAAGAGCAGCACCAGGGCGATCACCAGACCGTAGATGGTCAGGAATGCATGAGTAGAAGACTTAATTGATGAGACGGCCCGCAGACCAGTCCACCATGAAATGTCCTGCCCTTAGCGCATGGTGCCCTCAGGGGCGAACCCCGTCAGCGTGCAGCGGACCTTGCCCAGGAAGGCGATGAGGTCGTCCGCGGTTCGAGCCGGCATGGGCCAGCCCAGCCTCGCAGCCAAATCATCCAGACGACCTCGATCAGGTCGATCAGGCAGCTCCAGGCGGCGTGTTCCCAGGATGGGACCACGCTGCGGCCGCACACGTGGCACTTGGCCGTGACGTCACCTTCGTAGATCTTCTGGTAGGTCGCGAGCGAGTTGGCTGCCCCGACCAGAACGGCTCTGCGGACAGTGCCAGCAAGCCCAGCGCCGTCACGGCGGCATTGTGCCATGAAGCTCGCCCACAAAGTTCTTCTCCATGAGGCCCTGAGCTTGTGCTTGCACACGTCCATGCTAGTGCGCTGCAGGTCAATGGTGCCCTGCGTGCCATGCGTCCACAACCATGGGCCCTGAGGCTGCCAATGAGCAGCAGCACTGGTAAGGGACATATGCCAGGGAACTCTTTTGCCGGGCGTTCAGGGATTCCATGACTCAGCGCAGGTCATCCGCGACCTCAGGCTGCCGGGAGATGCCATCAATGCATCATCCCGAGGCGATGCCCTGACCAACTCCGGAGCCGATGGCTGCCTTACTTGAAACTTGCCAAAACAACCTGGACATAACAAGGTGATCACCTTTGAAGGCCACTAAAAGTGGACCGAAAATGGAAAACCAATGAGCTACACGGACTGAGCTGCCAATCCGATGGCGAAGCCGGCACCAATCAATTGCAGACAGCACGGGGATCCAGACGCAGCCCTCATCCGCGAATGCCGCCTGAGGTGTCGCCCAAGACCGCGGCGCTCAGGGCTGCTGCCGTGCCGGTGATGGTTGCCGGGGAAGACACAGGAGAGCGAGCCACTGGCACGAATGCGCTGAAGAGCGCGCCAGAGCACAGCAGCACAGCACCGGTCAGCACCAAGGAGCGAGCCATGGCTTGTCAAAGAGGGGAGAAGAAGCACGGCAGCTGTTTGAAGGCTTGCTCCAGAAACTTGAACTGAAATGGTTGCACAACATGGCTCCACTGCAACTTTAGTGACAATCCGTCAGCATTACATGTCCCTCAACAAGGTTTGCACTTGAAATGTCAATGCTGAATAAACAGCCCTCGTTCAAGTGCAAATGAGTGGTCACTCTGGAGCGGGTGGCAAAATTGCAGAAAGCCTCTCACACCACAGACACACACAAACAAACCAACCGACCAACCAACCAACCAACCAACCAACCAACCAACCAACAAACAGACAAACAAGCAAACCAAACAAACAAAACAAAAAACAAAACAAACCAACCAAACAAACAAACAAACAAACAAACAAACAGACAAACAGACAAACAGACAAACAGACAAACAGACAAACAGACAAACAGACAGACAGACAGACAGACAGACAGACAGACAGACAAACAGACAAACAAAGAGACAGACAGACAAACAAACAAACAAACAAACAAACAAACAAACAAACAAACAAACAAACAAAACACACAAAACACACAAAAAGACACAAACAATCAAACAAGCACACAATCAAACAAACAAACAAACAAACAAACAAACAAACAAGGAAACAAGGAAACAAGGAAACAAGGAAACAAGCAAACAAGCACATGCACACACACCTGACCACTCGCCGCAAGACAAAACGCACACCAAGCATCAAGGGCATGATGCTGCAATCGCTGGGGTGGTGGCACATCCAGAGAGGCCCCATGCCTCGGAAAGCAATATGCCTCTGACCAGTGGCACCCGGCAGTCTGAATTGCTTCTTTTGCTGATGGGCATTGGTTGTAACCTATGCCTCCATTTTGGGGCGGATGAACATCCATTTGCTACCTAGTTTGATGTTCAGCAGGGGTACAGAGTTTTGACCCACAGCCTGATCCTCATCAATCCCTTTTTGGAGCTTTGGAGCTTTGCCCTGGTTGGTTGTTCAGAGCAATGTGTTGGATTGCTGATCTTGTCCATTAGCATTCCTGGAGCCATGAGAGCTGTTCTGGCAATGCTGAAGGCAAGATAGCTCTGTTGGGTTCCACATTCCCTTGGCTGTGCAGCAACAACCTGATGATAGAGCAAAGGATCACATTTGTCTATCACAAGACCCCCGAGAGAGCCTCTATGTGAGGTGCATTCCTCTATCCCAAAAGACATGTCAGGACTCCAGGACGCACCCACAAACAGACTTATCCCCCAGCGTCTGTTGAGAGGGAAATATCAGGCCTCGTGTTCGCAGGTTTTCTTTGAGCTTTGGCATCCGAGAACCACCAAACGCAAGCGAAGCAATGAATGCTTCAGGTGGAACATCAACCTACAGAAACATGTTAGCTCAGCTTTCCGCTTGCTCTTGGACTTGGCAACTTAAATTGCTGTCGCCCTGTCAACCCCGCAGTTTGTGTCTGCATAGTTGGGCGGGAAAACCCATTTGAGGGGTTGGAAGCCCCATTTTGTGTCAAAGCGGGGGCCGCATTTCTTGCTTTGTGCTGTTCCCTTGAACACACCCGAAAGCCGGGTTTGGGGGTCACCGCATGTGCCGTTGCCGGCGGCATGCACAAACCCCCAGCTCGATTGAACGCTGAGACCCTGGCCCCAGGAGCTTGAAAACCATCTCCATCTGCGAGTTCCGGAACTGGGCGACAGGGTTAGTGGTCCATTGGTGGACATTGAACTGACAATGGTCCTCATGTGTGGCACTTCGACCCTATGCTTCTATGACGACACTGCTAAATGATCCGCAATGAGTATGTAGTTGGATGTCTTATGATACATTCATCTCTTCTCAAAGCAGGTGCTAAGGGTGCGAACAGCTATGCACAGTGGAGTTTCTCCGACTCGGTCTGCGTGGTTCACGTTGCACCTGGCAATGAGCATTCCTCTGAGTTGGATTGGAGCTCTGTGGCTTGGGACCAGCCATGAAGCATGGAACGTTGGAGCTAATGTACAGAGCACATAGGCGAGGCCTGCTGCAAAAGCAGCAGATCGGGGCTTAATTCAAAAGGTCAGTGCACAACACAGACATGAAGACTTGAGCCCAACCTTGCAACTGACCAAGCCTCCACCACATCCCTTCCAGACCCTCCGATTGTTTGTCGCGGATAGCGTGGAGAGTCCCAATTGTGGGATCCAGGCAACCGCGGCGGATAAGCCCCTCAGACACCAGCCAGTCCACACCTTAGGCATGGAACAAGGTGCAGTCGCTTCTCTCTTTTATAGCGATTTGGGTTCATATGAAACTCTGAAATCTTGGCATTTCCAGGAGCGCCGAAGCTCGAGATGTTCTTCAATTGCACTTCAGAACATCTTCAGTCGGGAGCTGTCCGCGCACGAGCAGTGTCATCACAGTGCACAAGCTGGGCTCAGAGTCCGCTATATTCATGAGTGACTCCGAATTCCAACGCAAGAAAGCACGCAGGGCTGCAAGAAATCAAACACATACCTTGTCAATGAAGGTTGGGAATCCATTTCTGTGTCAAGACCAGAGACCGCTCCAAAGGTGTTCTTTCGAGCTTGAAAAAATTTGTTTGGTCTCCGGCCGCGGCCCTGTGGCCCACGCATTCCCCATTGCCTTCCCGCACGGCCGCAAAGAGAGCCGTCCTCGGTGTCCGGCAACCCATGGACCCGACCAGGGCTGGATCGGGTCGTTGGCAGCGGTTTGCGGCGCGCATCTTTTTGAGCTTAAAGTGCAATTAGAAGATGCCACCTAATCGTCACGCCTTACAGCGTCTGACGTAGGGTATGTTTCGCCCAAACCTGGGTTTGGTCGCTTACCCCATTGCACATTGCTCTGTCTCAATGACCTGTTGGAGCCCCTCTCAACATGATGCGAGCCTGTGAATTCAAGCGCAAAAATCAAATCCCAAACCCACCGCCCACCTACGTATCTTTGCGGCAAAAAAAAATGCCGCGAAGTTGCCAGGGCCGCCGGCTGGTTGTACCGGTCAACCGCATAAGCCTCCAGGCCCCGCTTCTGCAGGATCCTGGTGGCGAGGGCGACTGACAGCAACTGTCAGTCCCGCGAGCGCCATCATTCATGAGAAACCCAAGAGCAAACCTGCCAAGGAAAGCATGAGCACAACAGCCCACAACAACATACAACAACAAACAACAAACAACAACAAGCCATGGGAAACCTGGGCCCAAGTTGAGCCAAGGAACCTTTCTTCCGGAAATCCCCTCAAGTCACCTTCCGATTTGCCCGCTCTGCTTTAGACCCATCGCCTGCAGGTCTCCAAGGCCGCGCCCTTGTTCGAAGCCCGCCCTGCGGCGGCGAACCTGGCAAAGCCGGGAGGAAGCCTTCGGGTCGGTACCCCGAAGAAAGCAACCCGATCTCTGAAATCCAAAGGCTTTTGGCTTCAGAAGAAAGGTAGAACATTCCAAAACCGCAAAAGAAACACAGCAACCCGATGGCAAGGCTCTCTTTTTGCTGTGTGATATGAACATGAATCACCGGCAAGAAGTACGTAAGAGCAAACCCGAAAAGCTGTGAAACACATAAGGAGACGGCAAGGCCGTGCTCAGGATATTGAGCATGGAAGCTCCCCCTTGTGTTCAAAAAATCGACAAACGTATCCTGCACTTTGCTGTATTCACATCGGTATCATGGATACGAAGATGAACCCAAGATAATACACTCTCTTGTCTCAAGCCAAGGCCTGCCCCGTGAAAAATTACACCAGCACAGCACCCTGGATGCATCACCAAACAAGCACCGACAGCAACCACCACACCACCCGAAGCACACTAAGCAGCACCCTGACCCGCACCAGGATCCAAATATGCACCACCAGAGGCCACCGCACCTTGAGCACATCAAAAAAGTACCCTTTATTCCGTACAGCACTCTGACCAGCACCCACAACAAAACCCTGCCTGCATCGCAAAACAAGCACTGCAACCAACCACCACACCACCTTAAGCATGCCAAACAGCACCTGACCAGCACCTGACCAGCACCTGACCAGCGCCTGCAGCACCAACTTGTCCGAACTCTCAAAACAGCCTGCCACTCCTTAAAGCAAAAACCCCTTACAGCTTTCAGCCATCTGGGGAGAAACAAAACACGTTTTCCCAGCCATCGCTTCCAGGCAGTTTCACAAACTCGCCGAGGTGGCATCAATGACTGCCCGTGGGAGTTCCTGCGCAGGACCGTTGCTTGGTTCCGAACCAATGGTCAGAACTTCATCCAAGCGAGTTCCTACCAGTTCCAACCGATGCGTCTTTTGTCAGGAAAAGGTTACGATGCTGCTCCTTGGGCAGGGCACCGACCTCTGACATCACACCTTCTGATGTGTGACAAGCGTTGCCTCCCTCGTTCAGCTGGGCAACGATCAAACATGTGTGACTGCCCTTCATGTCATGGCGCAACGTCTCATGTCTCTGGCTCCATCTTGAGGTGAATGGCAGCACGTGTGTGCGTGAGTGTGTCCGTGTGTGTGTCAGTCACACTTAGCAGTCACGCTTCGATAATTCAAAATGTATTTTTCCCCTGTCTCGTACACTCGTGCCAGCCATAAGTTTGCTAGAACGTGCACCGCAGCATGTTTCACAGCAAAACCCTCCCAAATGTTGGCTCACAAAAGCAAAACAAAAACTCATCTGAATAAGTATCGGCACAACAGTGTCTGCGCAGTATCCTCCCGCATGAGAAAGGAATGCTTTGAAAGTCTGATTCCACTGAACAAACATGTTACCTCCGTGCTCTTCTAGCAACCCGTCCTGAGACTCACATCTGCGCGCCATGCAACTTCCATCGCCTGGGGCGGAAGAGTGCCGAAAGAAGGTGGATTCCAGGAACTGTGGCATCAGGCTGGGTCAGTTGACAGAACAATATGCGCATACCTTCGTGCCTCGACAAAGTTTTGCTCGCCGCGCATACAGCCTTCGGTTTGACGATGTTGTAGCCCGCCCCCGCCTTGTTTTTGGAGCCGTTCTGTACAAGAGTGAACTCATCCTGGCCGAGGCAGCAATCAAAACACTGATTGCTGCGTGCTCAAGCATCTCGCCTTACCCCTGACATTTCAAACAGGCTCTGGTACCTCGCAGTGGTTTGCGTCTGCAGGCTTCTTTCGGCAGGCTGCTTGATGGAATGAATACAAATCTCAAACCACCTTTCTGAGGATTGGAGCCCCGGCTTTGTGCCTGCACGCACCCCCCGGCACGAGCCAGAAAAGAACTCTTCAACAGAAAATAACCGACGGTCCCCCCGCCCCACCAATGCTTGCAATCTTTCACAAACAATCTTGTCCTCCCCACATGAGCATGCTCATGCATCGAAAATCACTAGAAGGGCGAGGGAGTCAACAATGACTAAATTATGTCCAACACCCACTGGCACGGCAAAACATGACTGCAGTCTCGCACCACCAAATCAAATCCGCTCCCAATGTCTGGTCCTTGTTCACCATGGCTCCATCCCTCACATCTTACATCACAAAGAGTTGAAATGAAATTTCCTCTGTGTCCGTGGGACAATGCCCAAATCACCCGTTTGCAGGAAAAAACTGTGGTTTCCTGCATCAAAAAACTGTGGTTTCCTGAAGATTTCACCTCCGATGTTCCTAGATTGACATCAACTTTAACCATGCATGTGCAACCCACACACATGATCCAACAAATAATGCTGCAAATCATGGTCTCATGTCTCCTGAGAGCATCGCGTTGAAAGCAGCAAGTGTTGCAACCACATAGTGCATAATGCTGGACAAAATGATTGCTGGCCACTCTGCATAAGAACTCCACATTGCATTCGAGAAAATGACAAATAATATCTTTCAACCACAAGAACATGAGCACCACCTATTGTAGGACCCCGCGTTGAGGCATGAAAGTGTATTCAGTTTCGGGCCAACCTCCCTGCACCCCTGAGCCTGCACCTCTGAGCAACACCAAAAAAAGGGTGCGGAACAAGACTTTCGTTCAATGTGGTCCTGCCCAGGAACATGGTCGCGCAGTGGTTGTGCGACCTACATGGTGACGTCAAGCCTGTGCCTGCCTCTCATAGGTATTTAAAACCGCTCCTGAAATAGCATCCTTCGATTCTGCAGTAACAGCGCAGTTGGGACCTTGCTCCGCGCGGTGCGCCTACGGGCCCTGTGTTCGCGCTTCTGCGTCCGTTTCCGGCTCGCTGGTTTGCGGCACCGGGTATGAGTGCGCTTTGAGGAGCAAGTCACAAGCGGTCTGCATTGAATCGCCTTGCGCATCACCAACCGCATGCACAAGGCGGACTCCTGAAACAATGCCGGCTCCTGTATTTCTCGTGCAGATTTTCGAACTCTGCTTCTGGGAGTCCCACTGCAAGAGCTTAAGCAGATTGTCCCTTTCACGCCTGGAGCCCAACTCTGGAACTTGGAGGGCAGGCTCGATTGTTGGGTGTTACCCCCCCGCGCCATCGGGCGAGCGGTCGCCAGTTCGATAGTATCATCACGGCTAGACAGAAGGGCCGAGGAGATGGTGGCCCTGAAGCCGCCAAGCAAAGCACACTAAGGCGTGCCTTAGCTTGAGTAAGAACATTAGCGTGAAAGGCCGGGCAGGCACTAGTTTCAAGATTTGGTGTACACGGCAAAAACAGCAGCGCGTTGGCTTGATTTGCTGACTGTCTTCAAATTCAAGGCTACAATGGCGCACAGGAAGCGCCGAGCATGGAGCCAAGGCTGGGGCGCACAAAGGCGAAACTACGCGCGCTTCCCAGGCCGCTAGAATGGCCAAAGGCAAGGGTAGTACCTCCCGCCCATCGTGAAGCACCGGATAAGCGAAGGTTTGCGAGCAAACTGCTCATCAGCTCGGCAAGTTCTCAGTTAGAATCTTGATCACTGCTTCAAGCCGTAAGGGAACATGCAGCAAAAAACAAAAGAGTACGACCGACAAATGGTGCGCTTGCTCTTTTTCTGTATGAGGCGTTGCTTGGAAGTCAAGGCTCGGGGGTGCAGGGAGAAAGACAATGCGTGTCCTTTCCCCTTGCCTGCACCCCCCTGCGGAGCCTTCTCAAATGCCCCCGTGGTCAACAAAGCGTGTGGGACCAGGCGCCAGGTGTGTTACCTGTGAGGCGTGAAACTATCGAAGGCATTGGTTGCTGCAGAATGCCGTGCGTGCATCCGGCTGGTGTGCAGTGTGGCACACGGTGCAAGGCTGAGACCTGTCGAGGCGGTCACTGCATATGCCATGCGCAGTACCTGTCGGCACTGCTCTGGCCTGTTGGGTGCCAGCTGCGGCTGAGCACTTGGAGGATCCACCTGAGCTGTGAAAGGGTGGGTGGGCGCAAAAGAGAGGGGTAGGACCCTCACGCATGACCCTTAGGGGGCTTGAAGCAGAAAACGGCAACGTGTCCGAAGATTCAATCAAGATTAAAACATAAAGGAAAAGGAAAACCCCAAACGTTAGAATCTTGATCACTGCTTCAAGCCGTAAGGGAACATGCAGGAAAAGACAAGAGTGCTTTTTTTCTGTATGAGGCGTTGCTTGGAAGTCAAGGCTCGGGGGTGCAGGGAGAAAGACAATGCGTGTCCTTTCCCCTTGCCTGCGCCCCCCTGCAGAGCTTCTCAAATGCCCCCACTTCAGGGTTCCAAGCAAACGGCCTAATCTATCGCCCCCTCTTCAGAGCGTTTGCGAAGCACTTTTATGCTCCGTCCGGCCGTCATGGGGCGTCTGCCGGATGCAATGACAGCGCGGATTTATGGGGCCAGAAATCATGTGGGCGAAACGGCTTGCTGTCAAATGCGGATGTGTTTCCGCGGCTGAGCTGATCGGCCCACACGTTGCGCTCGCCTGGGATGTGCGAGGCTAGCACTGACCATTTGTGCTTGTAGGCCCACGCAGCTACTAGTTGCACAAAACTCTGCAAAGCCCGTGCTGTGGCTTGCTCACCCCGGCTTCGGATGCGGTGTTGTCTGTGCTGGAAGGCATGCATAGGCCGTGCACTGCTTGGCCCTCGGTGGTCCACGCGACTCGCACGAGCGCAAGCTGGGCCAAGGTTTCGAAGCAAGCTATGTAGCGTTGGGGGTTCTGGGCCGGCTGGAAATGAACCAGCCGCCTATGCCCACTTTGGTGCTTTCGGCACATGCGTCTGCGGCTGCTTTGCATGCCAGGATTGGCTTGCTTTGCAGCGGGCGTGCCAAGTCTGCTTGAAAGCATTATGTTGGCTCTGCTTGAGTGTGCTCGGCAGCGGGGTCTGCTACGCACACCCAAGCTGTTTTGTGACTGGGCACCACGCGAGACAAGTCAGATAGGCTGCGTACTGAGGTTTGTTGGTATTCGAATACCTTTGAGCCAAGTGGCATGAAAATGCCGTGCACGGGCAAGGCCAGTACGGGGTTGGCGTTCAGCGCCGAGAGGAAGGCAGGTCACAGGCATGCGTTCACTGAGATCATGCAGCCTGGTGGCGAATGCAGATCTGCATATATCTCAATTCTAGGCTTAGGCTGGTGGCCCAGATGAGCAGCCCCAGCACTTGCTCCAAAAGCTTTCTTTTGATTCTTTTTGATCGGAGCAGGGCACGCAGTTGCTCCTTAAGCTTAAGGGTTTTTAGCGGTGTGAGTTCGATGGTTTCTCGGTAGAAATTAATGGACCATCCGCACCAAGTCAGGCAGTCTTGGAACTGCACTTTCTTCCAGGAAATGGGCGCACTGATGGCTGCGAAAAATATGCGCGCGTCTGGCGTCGACAAACAACCAAGCTCTGTGCGGGTGTGCTGATAGACCGCCGTGTAGCAGTCTGAGCAAGAATGCTCCTGCGCTTTGCCACCAGTACGCGGAGAACCGGGCTCCGAAGTGGCATACTCGGTAGTGGCACAGAGCGTCCGCGTAGCGAAAAGCGAAACAGGAGCAAGCCGTGTTCGCTAGGGCGCGCTTGAATTTGCTTATGCGCAGCTTTAAAGTCGAAGCTAGCGCCTATGAAAGAGGCATGCGTGTCTTCTGGCACGAATGCGAGGCGCACGTCGGACGCCATCGTGATTGTTTTCCTCGAGCATACAAACGCCTAGCGATCAAGCTGTTCATGCACGTGAAACTCCAAGCTCATGTGTTACACAAACAGCATGGAGAACTTATGCACTGTGTGTGGGTACATAGGATATGAACAAACCTAATCACCCCGCCTTAATTCAAGCGAAACTTCACAAACTCTCATCGGTTGGATCTGTATTGTCAAGAGTGACGCGATGCCTCTCCAAGTCGACAACGCGGTCTGACCATTCTTCTATTCTTCCTCCGAGAATATTCATCTGATGCGAAAAGTGGTCCTGCAAAGACGCAGTCTGATTCTGCTGTTCCACAATCATTCCAGTGAAAATGTCATATCTGCGCTGTAAAGAATCAAGAACTCTCGAATGATAATCTCCCATATCATCCATTAACTCATCTTGCACAGTTCAATTCGATATCAAACTGACGGGTTAGACGTCTCTCTCTCCAGAGAAATAAAACTGTCACAATGAAAAGAATGCAACTGAAGAACGCTGCCTGCTGATTGGCATGGCTCCAAGCCTGCACACACGGCTGCAATAATACATACTGCACCATATAGCGAAAAGGGTGCAGCAAGAAAAGCACCATCGTCTCAAATATGTAGCTGAAGATAATAAACTCCATCTCTGCAAAAGAAACGCACAAGCGGTGCTCTGCGAAATTGCTGTAATGCAAATATCTCAATGTTCGAAGATGCGTAGCCGACTCAAGGCGTAAATGCACTCGCGAACATCATCATGCGAATCATGCGCTGGATTGGCTTCTTGGGTCCATTGAAACTGCTACGCAACATGTTCACACTCTGCCTGAAGTGAACAACTTGCATGTGTTGCTCGCACTGCTCTTTTCCAAGAATCTCATCTGAGCCAATGTCAAAACATCCAATAAGATGCATGAGAAAAAGCACACGATCACGCAAAAGTCGCTTAGTGAACAAATCACTTGGGTTCATCTTTGTCTCAACATGATGTACAGAAAGTTGACCAGTTTGAACCAAACGTTGAGTCCAAAGAACACGACAATCGAGGTGGCGAATCCGACCGACGCCACTCCTCCTGAGGATCTGCTTGCACGCGCTATTGGCCACGTACAACCTCAAGTGGATCCTCGCATCAAACATGTATTCCAAACAAGAACGAAGTAAAATGCTGTCACACAAACCTGATGTTGCTGAGTAAAGCTCACTCTCTGCACTGCTAAGCGCAATAGCCTTCTGCGCCTGCTGGCTGAATGAGTCAGGCTGTCCTGCAAAAACACACAAACTGCTGTGACTGACCGTCTCGAAGACTTGTCTCCTGCCCAATCTGCATCAGTGTTTGTTTTTTAACTCTTGAAGACGCACACCCTCTTGTGACGCACGCCAGTTCGCGTCGATGCCGGTGTGGTATTCACACCGGCTTGTAAGTGAAGCAGCCAAAGGTGCACCCCTACCCCCCCCCCCAGCCCCCGACACACAGACCCCAACAAAAAGAAGGGGGGCAGCCCAA